TTGGACTAGATGACCACTGGAGGTCCTTTCCAACTCTATGATTCTGTGATCTTCTCTCTCGTTGGGGCTAGAAAATTTGGTGTTTTCTTAAATGTGAGCTAGAATTCTCAAGTTTTGGGGGTTTTTTTTGCAATACCGTATTAAGTTTTTCGGATCCCGTGAGCCGCAACAAAGACAAATCCGTGGGTTCTAGATCGAATCGAGCCTGAACTCTCCCGAGAAGCTGAAGCTGAGTTCGGTCCCATTATGAGAAGACGATCAGATGTTTGGGAGCCACAAGACATGAACAGATATTACTAACACGTTTTTATTTAAAAATACACAGATTTGCTTTTTTAATTCACATTAAATGAGACTGCCAAAAATAAAGGCAAAAGGGGCTAAAAACAGATATTGATAATGATATTTGGTTGTTCAATGATATGTATTTGTTTGCTAATGATATTTGTCAGAGAGAGGTGGAAAGAAAGAAGGAAATCAGCCAGGGGATGTGTGCAAATATTTAATTCGGCCTATCCTGTGTTGCTCTCTGCCTCTTAACTTTCCTTAGCAAAGAAATTTGGGTCCCCAGCTCACAGCTGTAGACCCGCACGCCGGAGTATTTATCTCCCCCCCGCCCATGCAACTGCAGAATCCACATCCTTTTTTAATTGTATCTATTTATTAAATTAGATTTATGAATCGCCCATTCCCTGATTACTCAGGGCTCTGGTGGGGAACAACAAAACACTAAAACATTGGAGTTGCCCGGTACACACACACACAGGGGCTGGGGGTTGCCCGGTTGCCAGATCCAGGTAGGAAAACTCCTGGAGATTTGGGGGTGGAGCCTGGGGAGGACAGGGTCCTCAGTGGGGCACAATGCCCTAGAGTGTACCCTCCAAAGCAGCCATTCTCTCCGGGGGAACTGATCTCTGTAGTCTGGAGATGAGCTCCAGGTCCCACCTGGAGGCTGGCATCCCTAATCCACACATCCACAATCCAGAGGAGCTGCATCTTGCTCACGTGTCCCCACTGCTGCGCTCAGCTCGGCCAAAATCTGCCATCTCACAGGGCTGCCTGAGGCGTTTCCACCAGCCGACCGGTTCCATTCCCGGTTCCTATGACGACCACTTAAAACTTGGCACCTGTTTTTCCAGCATCCACAGAGGAGGGGAGGGTGAATCGGGCAAGGCCTGGAGGGTTATGGGGTGATTTGTTTTTTGGGGGGGCGGGGGAAGCTGACTGAGGTCTGGGTGTCAAATGACAGACGGAAGGAGGGGGGTATTGGACAGCTCCCGAATCATCACCATCTCGCCCCGCGGGAAGAGACAGCGGTGGCCAGTAAGCCGGCCTACGCACCACCTAGAGGAAAAGTCTATCTCTCCCGGCCTGCTTCCTCCTCCCTGTGCACACACACACGCACCTCCCCGGGCATGAATCTTTCATGGGCCTTCAGCACGGAGATCCAGCCGAGCAGAAGGGAAATATCGATTCTGGAGGTTTGCAGCTCAGTTGGTGAACACAGCCTGCCGCGCAGTTTGGGTGGCGGCGGGGAGAGAGACGGGTCAGCAAAGGACAACGTTCTCTGACTCACTGCTCTGGCGTGATGTGATCGAGCGAGGGGGGGGGGAGTCGTGTGTCTCCCTATAAGTGAGCTTGCGGATTAAATGTCTTTTTTTCTGCAGCCTCTCTGTACCGGGTTAGGAACTCTTGGCCACGTTTCTCTTGTAGTCGGCCAGCCCGATTAAAAGGTATCGGCTACACGGTTATTTGAATAATCTACCGCCCGGCAGGGACCAATTTTCCTTGGGCGTTTTAGGATGGGGAAACTGGGACACCCACACTGGAGGTTTTTTTCTCAGGATATTTTGGCTACCGAAGTCTCCTTTCAGGGTGGCGGAAAGTGCCATCAAGTTGCAGCTGACTATAGTGACCCTCATGAAGTTTCAAGGCAAGAGACATTCAGAGGTAGTTTGCCATTTCCTGCCTCTGCATAGCGACCCTGGACTTCCTTGGTTTACCGTGCTCGAAAGTCAGTCAAATCCGACTCTAGGGGGCGGTGCTCATCTCCGTTTCCAAGCCGAAGAGCCAGCGCTGTCCGAAGACTTCTCCGTGGTCACATGGCCGGCATGATTAGACGCCGAGGCGCACGGAACACCGTTACCTTCCCACCAAAGCGGTACCTATTTATCTACTTGCAATTTCTTGCTTCCAGACTCCTAGGTTGGCAGGAGCTGGGACCAGAGATGGGAGCCCACTCCGTCATGCGGCACTCGGGTCTCGAACTGCCGAGTTACCGACCTTCCGGTCTGCAACTCAGCCTCTTAACCTCTGATCCACCGCGGCCCTAAAACTGTCTTTAGGATGAGCAAAGAAAGAAGAAAAGTTTGCCATGGAAAGTGATTGTGTTGCAAGGTACGCAACAAGGACCAGGTCTCCAGGCGTCTGTAAAATACCCGTCTTTGGTGAATGGCTTTTAATGGCCAGTGGCTACAGCTATCGCCCACTCCTTGTCCATTTAGGTAGAGAAACTGGATGTGTGGGGTCAGCGTAGCCAGCAAAGGTGACAGAAGTTGATGTTTGGTGGCTGGCTCCCGCAGAAGCCAAAGAAAACAAAATCCTCCTCTTCTTTGCACAAGGGTTAAAGGGTTAGCTCAAGAAGGAGGGCTCCAGAGCAAACGAATTCATGCAGTCGCCCAATCGCTGGCTCACAACTTTAATACCAGTGGCTCCCAAAGTAGAATTTTTGCTCACGAGACTCCACCGCTTAGAGGGGGCATTGCTCTCTTGCAACTGTTCCCTCCGGCAGAGTGAGAAATTCAAACAACTGAGCTGGTTTTGTGCCTGTGCTTCCCATCGGCAATTCCGAAATGATGGGCCGGGGCTCACTGAAATGCTAGAAAAGACTTGCTCCTGTGTGACCAGGCTAACATTAATGAAAGGATCCTGTGAGCCTCCGGTGTGCCCAAAGAGAGGAGGCTTCCTGCTGCATCACTGTATGATGCCCTGTCCTGACCTGCTCTTTTACCAAGTTCAGGTCATTGTTCTCTCTTACAGAGCGTGTCATCTTTTCCAGAACAGAGATGCAACCAAACTACCTGCCCTCAGAAGAGGCCCCTTGTTGCATCTCTGCATTCGTTACCGCGCTGGCCTTTTATCTCCTTCCACATGGCCTCTATTGGGGGTTGGCAACTGCTGCCTCTCTGCATTCGGTCTGCCAAAATAACTCCTCTGCTCTGCATGCAAAGGACATAGTAGAATTACCTGCCCTCTGAAGAGGCTGCCTGTTGCACCTCTGCATGAGTGTCTGTTCTGGACCGGCCCTTGTCTACTTAGGAGGCATGTCCCTGATCACCCATGCTTACAGAAACGGGCAGGGCAGGGGTCGTTCTGTGGCTGGATGATTTGTCCCACATGCCAAAAATAAACTTCTTCGGATGTAAGACCGTTGCAGACATTTTGTTTTAATCCAACAATCGAGCCTCACCTATCAAAAGCTAGGGAAACACGGGGCTCTCCCCATCCGTTTCCCCAGTGGTCTTTAGCCAACACTGCTGCCTGTAGTCTTTTCACATTAGGAAGACCGTGACTCTGGGTGGCGACCAGAGGCACGGCCTTTTCAGCAGCGGCCCCTCATCTGCAGCACGCGCTTCCCCTTGAGGGCTCGCCTGGCGCCGATCCTCTGGGAGGCTCCCCAGGAGAGGCAGCATAAAAATCCCATAAATAAATAGTTTCAAGTGGGGGTAGCCCTGTGGGTCTGCAGGGTGACAGCAAGATCTGAGTTCCAGTCGTACCTTAAAGACCAATACGATTTCCAGGGAGCTTTGACTCCTGAGAGCTTTGAGGAAGGGAAGGGTGACCCTTGAAAGCTTGTGCGTGAGAACCCATCGAGGGGCTTCCGAGGCAAATGAGAGGCAGAGGTGGTTGGCCATGGCCTCCCTCTGCAGAGTCTTCCTTGCAGGTCTCCCATCAGAGTACTAACCAGGGCTGACCCTGCTTAGCTTCCAAGATCTGATGAGATCGGGCTGTACTGGGGTGGCCAAACTGCGGCCCGGGAGCCACATGCGGCTCTTTCATGCATATCGTGCGGCTCCCGGCTGGGGAGGCGAAGGGGAGGCACGCCTCTCCAATCGGTCTTCCCTTCCCCAGCTGTTATTCCCCTCTCCGGGTAGGCTTGAGGTGGGGGGAGCAGAGAAAGAAAGAAAGCAACCTTTAAATACTTTCTCAAAGGCCCGCCCCCTCCGGCCGGCTTGGAGAAGGCATTTGTCTCTTTAAATCCCTTCTCCAAGCCAAGCCGGCCGGTGTGGGAGGTGGGGGCTTGGAGGACACATTGAAAGTTGGCAGTCTCGTTTAATGTTAATAAAAAGCAAGTCTGCATATTTTCCCATTAAAAACATATAATGTTTGTTCACATCTTGCGGCTCTCAAACATCTGACATTTATTCTATGTGGCTCTGATGTTAAGCAAGTTTGGCCACCGCTGGGCTGTACCGTGCTGCCTCCCCTCCCGTCCAGAGCTTACAAGCCGGAAATCTGGTTGGTCTTTAAGGTGCTATTGGGAGGGGGAGGAGGAGGAGGAGGAGATTGGATTTATACCCCGCCCTTCACTACCTGAAGGAGTCTCAGAGTGGCTTACAATCTCCTTTCCCTTCCCCTCCCCACAACAGGCAACCTGTGAGGTAAGTGGGGCTGAAAGAGCTCTTTCGAGGACTGCTTTTGAGAGAACATCTCTGAGAGAACTTGTGACTGACCCAAGGTCACCCAGCTGGCTGCCTGTGGAGGAGATGGGGAATCAAACCCGGTCCTCCCAGATTAAAGTCCGCGCTCCTAACCGCTACACCGAACTGGCTCCCAACTCTTGGTCTTCTAAATAAATCGTTTAGCATTCCGAGTTTCAGCTTGACTGCCCAGACTCAATGCTCAGACCCACCGAACTGCAGCTTCTTGCCGAGGACAGCCCTGTGTGCCCAGCCAGGCCACAACGACCACCCCTCGCTCCCACCAGTGGCTCTACTCACACTCTGGTCGTCGTCCTCGCTTTTCATGTGGTCTGCAATGAAACGGACTCCATCCACAGCTTCCTCCAGGCTGCAACAGCAGTGGCCGGGTGGCGCCGCTTGACCCGGCCTGTCTCGGTAACCGTTGGCCCCATCGGATGTTTCCGTGAAAGGTCTGCTGGCGCCACCACTGCCGCCACCATTACCATTGTTTCCCGTCCCCAACTTAGTAACGGTGGCAGGGTTGACGTAACGCATGCAGGAATGAGCCCCATCTCGCCGGAAGAAGCTGCTGGTGGTACGTTCCTGGTTCTGACGCCTCTGACGCAACCGCTGGCGGGCGCAGTTCTGCCGCGGCTGCTTCATGAAGAGGAGCATGGGCAGTTTTTCCAGGAAAACCACTTTGACCCACGGCGGCATGGTGTGGGTGGTCGGCGAGCGGTGGTGCACGTTCAGCACGCAGACGCTGGTGACGATGGAGAAGGTCACCAAGACCATGGTGAACATCAAGTATTTGCCCACCAGGGGCACATCCAGCGAGGTAGGGGGCACAATTTTGGAGATAAGGAGCAGGAAAACGGTGAGGGCGAGCAGGACCGAGATGCAGAGGGTCATCTTCTCGCCACAATCCGAGGGCAAGTAAAAGACGAGGATGGCTAAAGAGGTGATGAGGATGCATGGGATGATCAGGTTGATGGTGTAGAAGAGGGGCTTGCGCCGGATGATGAAGTCATACGTGATGTCCACGTAGGTAGAGTCGTTGGGGTTCTCGTTGCGCCGCCCCGGCAGGGCAATGATGTCCCACTCGCCGCTGGGTGTGAAATCGTCCAAGCTGGCCACCTCGCTCTTCAGCACCAGGTCGATCTCCGTGCGGTCGTAAGTCCACGAGCGAAACTTCATGGTGCAGTTCTGCTGGTCGAAGGGGAAGTGTTTCACCTCGATTTTGCAGGCGCTCTTGTAGATGGCGGGCGGGAGCCAGAAGATGCTGCCGTCGTAGGATACCACCGCGTTGGAATAGAACGACACTTCGTACATTCCATCGGCACTGCAGGGGAGGAGGAAATCCTGTTTATATCGAGGCCACAAAGGCAAGGAGAGATACATCTGGCAGGAAAGGGTTGGTCCAGTAGCTATACCCTTTCTCCTTTTAGAAGAAGAAGAAGAGACTGGATTTATACCCCACCCTTCACTCGGAGTCTCAGAGTGGCTTACAAACCCCTTTCCCTTCCCCTCCCCACAACAGACACCCTGTGAGGTAGGTGGGGCTGAGAGAGCTCTTTCCAGAACTGCCCTTTCAAGGACAGCTCTTGTCAGAACTATGGCTTGCCCAAGGTAATCCAGCGGCTGTAAGTGGAGGAGTGGGGAATCAAACCCGGTTCTCCCAGATTAGAGTCTGCGCACTTAACCACTGCACCAAACCACTGCACCAAAGCCATGCATTACCCTTTCAACCTTTGATCACACCTCTAAAGGAATATATATCAAGTAGCAATGAGTAGGGCATAAAGGTTTAGTTGATGACTTGGTTAGATCAATCTGTTAAACTGTCTGGTACCTTAAATTAACATGCATTAAGGTTACCCCAAAGGCAAATAAGGATAATAAGGACAGTAATTCCCCAAGGGTAAGGATCAGGAAGCTACAACAGTCCCACCAAAGGAAAATAAGGTCAATAAGGACCAAAAAGTAGCAACAGTCCCCAAGGCAAATAAGGACAACAAGTACAGTAATTCCCCAAAGATAAGGACTGGGAAATTGCAACAGTCCTGTCAAAGTAAAATAAGGACAATAAGGACAGTAACCTCCCAAGGATAAGGACCCGAAAGTAGCAACAGTCCCTCCAAATGAAAGTAAGGACAATAAGGACAGTAATCCCTTAAGGATAAGGACCAGGACATAGCAGCAGCAGCACCAAAGGCAAATAAGGACAGTAAGGATAGTAACCCCCTGAGGACCAGGACCAGGAAGTAGCAACAGTCCCACCAAAGGAGAGTAAGGACAATAAGGATGGTACTCTTTTAAGGATTAAGACCAGAAAGTAGCAACAGTCCCACCAAAGTAGATTAAGGACAATAAGTAATCTCTTAAAGACAAGGACCAGAAAGTTACAACAGTCCTTGCAAAGGAAGATAAGTACAATCAGGGCCGGCTCACTCACTAGGCGAACTAGGCAATCGCCTAGAGCGGGCCGGCCCTTAGGAGTGCCAAACTGCACCCGGCCCCGTAGTCTGGGAGTTTCTTGATTATTTGTGTTTTTCATTCTTCCTAAAATGCATTTATTTTTGAAAATTGGTGGGTGCACGGGGAGGGGGGTGCCAGAAGGGATCCCCACCTAGGGTGCAAAATAAGCTGGGGCCGGCCCTGAGTACAATAAGGACAGTAACCCACCAGGGATAAGGACCAGAAAGTAGCAATAATCCTCTCAAAGGAAAGTATGGACAATATGGACAGTAATCCCTTAAGGATAAGGACCAGAAAGTAGCAACAATCCCTCCAAAGAAAAGTAAATAAGGACAGAAACCCCCTGAGGACAAGGATCAGAACAGCCCTGTCAAAGGAAAATAAGTACAATAAGGACAGTAACCCACCGAGGATAAGGACCAGAAAGTAGCAACAGTCCTCTCAAAGGAACATAAGGACAATATGGACAGCAATCCCTTAAGGATAAGGACCAGAAAGTAACAACAATTTCTCCAAAGAAAAATAAGGACAATAAGGACAGTAACCCCCTGAGGATAAGGATCAGAAAGTAGCAACAGTCCCCCCAGAGGAAAATAAGGACAATAAAGACAGTAATCCCTTAAGGATAAGGAAATGAAAGTACCAACAGTCTCCTCAAAAGCAAATAAAGATGATAAGGACAGTAATCTCTGTGGATAAGGACCAGAAAGTAGCAACAGTCCCTGGTCCACAGGCATAGTTGGAGTCCTTGAAGTAATGGCAGCTCCAAAAGAAACTTCCACCAAAATCTATTTTCTCCTGCATTGTAGAAATTGCAGAGAAATGTGAGTACTTTCTTTCCCTGGACAACATTGCCTGTGTGCAGCACAATGCTGGCCACACTCTAGAAAACCGTACAACTTCTTTTGGAGTGTGCAGGAATTCTGCCACAAACAATCTCAGTCATTCCTCAGAAAGGGATCCCCGGGATGGTGACCCTGTCCTAATTAATTAATTATCATATGGCATTGTGTGTACAATGGCCAGGAGATCCTAAGATTGCCTGGCAGCCAGAAGTTCTAACTCTTTCAGCACTATGTGCCACTAAGGCAGTTTGTTGCAGTGGTTAAGAGCAGTGGACTCTAATCTGGAGGACTAGGTTTGATTCCCTACTCCTCCACGTGCAGCCACTGGTGTGACCTTAGGTCAGAGCTGTTCTCTCAAGAGCAGTTCTCTCAGAGCTCTCAGCCCCACCTACCTCACAGGGTGTCTATTGGGGGGAGAAGAAGGGAAAGGAGATTGTAAGCCGCTCTGAGACTCTGAGTGAAGGCCGGGGGGTATAAATCCAATCTCCTCTAGGTGGCGAGCTAGACTTGTTCTTAAGGCAAGAGGCATTTCAGAGGTGGTTTGCCATTGCCTTCCTTTGCGTCACGACCCTGGTATTCCCTGGAGGTCGCCCTTCCAAATATTAGCCAAGGCTGACCCTGCTTAGCTTCCGAGATCTGATGAAATCGGGCTAGCCTGGGCTATCCAGGCTGCCCTATCCCCTATGAAACCTCACTACTCACTGCACCCGTTCACTTTCCCTGCTACGTCCTTGCTCTATCCACAAGTGGAAATCCTGGCTGTGGAACAAGAACATTGCAGGGACCTACTTGTTGTAGAGCACAACATCTGGAAGCCAGATGTGCTTGGAGGGTAGCCGCACTTTCTTCATGTCGTCAAAGTCCTCGGGGTTCCACGTGAGGCGGTAATCCTCCCATTCCTGCAGAAGAGTGACAAAGGAGGTCAGGTGGAAGCCAAGCACAGATTCACCCTCCCTCCCCCCAAAAAATCGTAAGAACATAAGAGAAGCCAGTGTTGGATCAGGCCAATGGCCCATCCAGTCCAACAGTCTGGGTCACACAAAGTGGCCAAAAATACCAGGGGCCATCAGGAGGTCCAGCCGTGGGGCCAGAACTCCAGAAGCCCTCCCACTGTTGCCCCCCACCCCCCAAGCACCAAGAATACAGAGCATCACTTGCCCCAGACCGAGAGTTCCTATCTATACCTTGCGGCTAATCAACTGCATATCGAACTCTTACCCAGAAAGCCTGGTTTGCATGAAGAATAGCCCAGGTTCAGTGTCTGGCATCTCCAGTGAAATGGTGTCAGATGCCAAGAGACCTTTCTCGAAACCCCAGAGAACTGTCGCCAGTCAATCAGAATCAGTAATACGGCGTTACACAGACCATCTCTGCATAAGGCAGCTCCTAGATGTTTTATATCTATGTACGCAAGTGCCGTCAAGTCACAACCAACTTATGGTGACCCCAGCAAGGGCCTTTCGAGGCAAGCGGGAAGCAGAGGTGGTGGTTTACCAGGGCCTTCCCCCATGGAAGAGCTGGAGTCAAGTCCAGTAGCACCTTAGAAAACAAGGTTTTCGGGATATAAGCATTCGAGAGTCAAAAGCTTATACCCCCAAAAAAATCTTGTTGGTCTCTAAGTAACTATTAGACTCGAATCTGGCTTTTCTACTGCAGACCAACATCGCTGCCCTCTCAAACGATTCTCCTCCACAAGATCTTCTTTGGTGGTCTCCCGTCCGAGTACTGTCCCTGCTTCGCTTCCAAGATCTGATGAGATCAGACTCCAGCTGCCACCAAATGGCCACCATTGAAAAGAAGAAGAAGAAGAAGAAGAGACTGGATTTATACCCCGCCCGTCACTACTCAAGGGAGTCTCAGAGCGGCTTACAAACTCCTTCCCCTTCCCCTCCCCACAACAGACACCCTGTGAGGTAGGTGGGGCTGAGAAAGCTCTTTTTCAAGAAATGGCTCTTTTTCAAGAACAGCTCTTATCAGAACAACGCTTGCCCAAGGTCGTCCAGCCAGGTGCAAGTGGAGGAGTGGGGACTCAAACTCAGTTCTCCCAGATTAGAGTCCGCGCACTTAACTACGACACCAAAAGGAATGTAAGTCCAGAGTTTTGTTCAACCTATTTTCAGAAATTAAAAAGTTTGGGTTCCCCACCCCCTTTTATAAAAGGGCCATCTTTCGGCTATGCTCCTGCAGAGTGCAGGGGGTTGGACTAGATGACCTGCAAGTTCCCTTCCAACTCTAACATTCTATGATTCTTTGAGGCAAAGTGACAAAATAAACCCATTCCTTTGATTCTTCCGTAGGTTCGTTCTCCCCTGTGTTCCCACTTAGAAGAATTTCTTTACAAATTTTTTTTTAAATTATTTTGTAATATTACAGTGTACAATACAATCACAATGAATCCATGTTACAATCAGGCAGTTATTGTAATTCCTTTGAACTTCAGTCTTAACATTTCAATTCAAATAAAGTAGAGAATTTACAGAAAGTTGCATAAAGGTAAAGGTAACAGCCACCTCTAAGGTGGGAGGTATCATAAAATGTATCTAGATTATGAAAATGTTGATAAAGAATCTTTGGTCACTGAGGGATATTTACAGCCCTTGGTTAGTTCTGAATGCGTTTTACAGATATAACCATTTGTGGTAGATTGCGTTGGAGGGAAGCAAATCATGTGTTGACATAAAATTTAATAGTGGAGCAAAAAATTTGGAGTAGTTCGGCATAGACGATATTTGTGATCTCTGAATAGCATCTGAAATTTTGGCCATGACGAATTGATCCCATAGAAGAATTTCTTGTTTGAACGTAAACCGTGCGGTTATGTGGATTCTTTGTTGGTTCGCAGAGCCTTGGTGACCCTAACTGGGCAAAAAAGGCAACATGCAAATATTGAAGACTAATAAATCTGAAATATGGCAGGGTGCCGTGATCCTGGGCCTACAGAAGTGCGGCCTACAGGCTCTAGGGAGGCCTAGTGGCTCCAGGGAAGCCTGTTTCGGAGTAGCTAACAGGGCCTACGTTTCCCAGGGCACCCTTTGGGCCCTGTGATTGGCTAACAGGGCATTTGGAGGGAAAACTTGCACCAGCAGAGGAGTAGAGGGTGGTGCCTGGGAAGAGGGAATAAACGGTCTTGCCCCAAAGTGGGAGGAGGTTCACTCCTAGGGAGCAGAGGTAGTGTGAAGCAGCTGCGGAAGGAGGGACCCCTCATCTGAAAAGGGTGAGTCAGTCTGAGACCAAGTACCTAGAGAAGGTAGGGTTGCCAGGACCCTACCTGGCATCCAGCGGGGGTGCGAAGCTCCGTGTCAAGGAGCTTCGCGTATGCCATGAAGAGGTCACCCGGAAATGACATCATCATGCCAGGCACGCTGTCGAGGGACGCTCTAGCGTTTGACTTTAAAACTCTATGGTACCATAGAGTTTCAATGCCGAATGCTAGACTGTCCCCCAACGGCATGCCCAGAGTGATGACGTCACCTCCGTGTGACATCATCACACTGGGGACATCGGCCCAATTCCCCACTTTGGGGGTGGGGTCCCCCCCAGTGGCCGGACCTGGGCCGGTGGGTTGGGGGTCTCTAGAGCGGGCAAACCCCCGCCCCCCAGAGGACCTGGCAGCCCTAAGAGAAGGCTAGGACTACAGAGTCAAACATTTTAGGATTTCTTATTTTGCTGGTTTACCTACCTTTACTGTGCTCACTTTTCCTACACATTATTGAATCACAGCTATTGTTAAATCTCTTTAATAAAAATAGTTTGTTACTGTGCCTGGGTCCACACACCTCGTTCGGTCACTTATAAGGGGAAACCTGTTGAAAAATGAGTGTTTAAAGGAGGTAGGGTGGGTGCTCTGGGTCCTCCCGGGGAGACCCATACCAGAGTGGTGGCAGCCATCAGAGAGAACCTCTCTAGCCACTGCCCGCAACACATGGCGTCCAAGATCAGATGGTATGACACATGAGTCGGTTTGGTGTAGTGGTTAAGAGCGTGGACTGTAACGAGGGAGAGCCAGGTTTGATTCCCCGCTTCTCCACATGCAGCCGCCGGTGTGACCTTGGGTCAGTCACAAGTTCTTTCAGAGCTGTTCTCTCAAGGGCAGTTCTCAGGAGGGCTCTCTCAGCCCCACCTAATGGAGTGTCTGTTCTGGGGAAGGGGAAAGGATTGTAAGTCACTCTGAGACTCCTTTGGGTAGTGAACGGCAGGGTATAAATCCGATCTCTTTTCTTCCTCTTCTCCTAAATTGAAGCCTCTCTGTCAGGGGTCTGCCCCCTTAAAGCGTCCGTCCGTCCCCCCCCCCCCGCTAAAAAAACAGCATTTAAAGGGTTACCTCTAAGTGCTGTTTTGGCCTGATCTCCAAGCAGCCAATCGCTGCTTGGAGATCAGGGAAGGCATGTGGCCCCTCCCCCCTCCATTGTTGCCCCACAACATTTCCTTGTGCCCCACCAACCAAAGATTTCTTGCTACCGGGCTGATTATGCATCATGTTAGCATTTATGCTTTGCTTCAGTTCTGGGTTTGGTGTTTTATTCCAATTTATGGTTGGTTCCACAACCCAAATCCTAATTTCGCTGTTCACTGAATGTCCCTGTCTTGCCGATTTATTGACTCGCTCTGCAAAATCCACCTTGAATCCCAATGAGGAAGGCAGACTATAAATAACACGAGTGAATAAGCAAATAAATCAATACTGGCCTCGAGGGGGACTGACATGCGAGGCAACTTCATGCACGGGGCTTATTCTAGCGCCCCACCTGCCCTCCCGATATAATTTGATTATCTTTTTCCAAACAGCCACATTTCGTTCCACACTGAGCCAGGTGGCTCCAGGGCAGTGTTCCCTCTAAGCTGAGTGAGTGTGAGCTAGCTCACAGTTTTTTAGCCTCCGGCTCACACATTTTTGTCTCAGCTCAGGAAGGAGGGCTCCGGAACAAACTGATTTATGCAGCAGCCACATCGCTCGCTCACAACTTTCATGCCAGTAGCTCACAAAGTAGAATGTTTGCTCGCAAGGCTCCACAGCTTGGAGGGAGCATTGGTTGCAGAGCTACAGGCTCCAGACCCCTTCCCTGCGCACGCCTTATGGATGGATGGATGGATCCTCACCTGCGTCAGCCACACGTTGGTCGTCATGATCTGCTCCCTTTCGTGCTGCCAAGAGAACAAAAGACAATGGGAGTCAGTGGAACTGCCCCCCATGGAGGGGGTGGCTAGAGACTTTAATCCCCTCCTCTCCCTCTCCTCTTCTTCACCCAAAGAGTGATTAACACGTGGAATATCACCGCCACAGGAGGTGGTGGCGGCTACAAGCATGGACGACTTCAAGAGGGAATTAGATAAACATATGGAGCAGAGGTCCATTAGTGGCTATTAGCCACAAGGTATGGATAGGAACTCTGGGGCAAGTGATGCTCTGTATTCTTGGTGCTTCTGGTGTCCTGGCCCCACTGCTGGACCTCCTGATTGCACCTGGTATTTTTGGCCACTGTGTGACACAGAGTGTTGGACTGGATGGGCCATTGGCCTGATTCTCTTATGTTCCTATCAGGGTTCATTTCCTGCAGGAGCACACAGGAGTGGAGCCCCGGCAGTAAAGAGCCCAGGGGCGGGCACATGCAACAAGCCCCGCCCCCTGCTCCCAGCAGCCCTCAGTCAGAGCAAGAAGCAGCCGGGTAAGTTGTAGAGCTCCCCCCGGCCCCCCAGTCCAAAACAGTCCAGTGGCACCTTTAAGACCAAGGTTTATTCAGGTACAAGCTCTCCCTCCTCTGCGAGGACAGATCTGCATGTTCCCCCCGCCTCCAATAGCTAGCAATCCAAAAGAGTCCAGTGGAGCCTGAGCAGTGGGTGTTGCCTTCTTACACACTTCCGGTCATATCAGAGGGTGTGGCATATGCAAATAAGTTATGCTAATATGTTCTGCTAATGAGCTCCTGCACCTCTCTTTCTACGAAACGACCCCTGGTTCTTATGTTCATGGTTTCCGGATCCTCCTGCACGACCAGTGGGGGGTGGAGGAGTGGGTTTGCCAGATCCAGGTTGGGAAACTCCTGGAAATTTCGGGATGGCGCCTGGGGAGGACAGGGACCTCAGTGGGGTAGAGTGCCATAGAGTCCACCCTCCAAAGTAGCCATTTTCTCCAGAGGAATGAACCTCTGTAGTCTGGAGATGAGCTCCTATTCCGGGGGATCGCCAGGGTCCACCCGGAGTCTGCCATCTCTAGCTAAGAAGTTCCCAGTTCAGATTTCAGGGGGGGGCTCCAAAAAACAAGGAACATCTGCCATTGGTCCTTCCCTAGGCCCAAGATGAGAAAGGGGTGGAGTCTGCAGTGTTCCCTCTAAGCTGAGTTAGTGTGAGCTAGCTCACAGTTTTTTAGCCTCCGGCTCACACATTTTTGTCTTGGCTCAGGAAGGAGGGCTCCAGAGCAAACTCATTTATGCAGTAGCCAAATCGCTCGCTCACAACTTGAATGCCAGTAGCTCACAAAGAAGAATTTTTGCTCACAAGACTCCACAGCTTAGAGGGAGCACTGGCTGCCATAGTGGCTGGTGGGGGAGCTGGTTGATTTCTGTCTCCTCTCAGGTTTGGTATCTTAGGTTTCGGTTCTCGGGGAGTGTGCTTTCGCTGCTTGACCTTGGTGTCTGCTGTTCTGCTTCCCCTGGGAATGTATGCTCAAAAGCCCGCAAAGGCCTTTCCCCTGATTGGATCCTTCCATTAGGAGACCCTGCTTTGAACCTGGTATAATTGCCCCTCTCCCGCTTTGGCTCTCAGTTCTGACACTATACATGTATGGATGACTTGGCTTTTACTGCATCAATAAACTGACACTTCTTTGAAGGACTGTTGTTTCCTGATTGCTGCAAGACTCTGACATCTGCAAGCTGGGGGGGGGGAGGAGCTTAAAGTTTCCGTCTGATGACCTTGAACCAAACACTCACTGGCCCCTCAAAGGGCAGGCTTTCCCCGGACTCTCTGCAGGGTTTTGCTTTTCTCGTTTGCTCCTCTCGCGACTCACCACGCTGATGAGCTGAGCCAGGGACACCATCAGCTGCACGGTGACCAACTCGGAGCCATTGGTGGCCGGCCGGATGAGCTTATTGTAGCGTGACGGGTCCAGGAGGTGTTCCACCAGCCGCTCCTCCGTGTCTGTCCCCAGGGTCCCTGCAGAGCGGACACAGGGCAGGTGAGCAAACCGCCCTTCCCAACGGGCAAGGTTAGTCCCCCATCCGTTATCCAGACCCGATCCGAACTGCATGCATCTGCTTGGGTTGCCAGCCTCCCAGTGGGTTGTATGGAAAAATAATATGACACTGTATATAACAGAGGTATCCTTAAGGCAGATCTGTTTTGTGCTTTTTATTTTTTATTTTTCAGGATTTTTCTATGAAAGGTAAAGGCTTCCCTTGCTCGAAAGCCAGCCGAATCCGACACTAGGGGTGTGGTGCTCATCCCCGTTTCCAAGCCGAAGAGCCAGCGCTGTTATCGAATGATAAAAGGGTTGGAACACTTTCCCTATGAGGAAAGGTTAGAGCGCTTAGGGCTCTTTAGCTTGGAAAAACGACAACTGAGGGGAGAGATGATTGAGGTTTATAAGATTATGCATGGGGTAGAGCAGGTAGAGAAAGAGGTACTTTTCTCCCTTTCTCACAAGACAAGAACTCGTGGGCATTCAATGAAATTGCTGAGCGGTCGGGTTAGAACGGATAAAAGGAAGTACTTCTTCACCCAAAGAGTGATTAACACATGGAATTCACTGCCACAGGAGGTGGTGGCAGCTACAAGCATGGACGGCTTCAAAAGGGAATTAGATAAGCATATGGAGCAGAGGTCCATCAGTGGCTATTAGCCACAAGGTATAGATAGGGGCTCTGGGGCAAGTGATGCTCTGTCTTCTTGGTGCTTGGGGGGGTCAACAGTGGGAGGGCTTCTAATGTCCTGGCCCCACTGGTGGACCTCCTGATGGCACCTGGTATTTCTGGCCACTGTGTGACACAGAGTGTTGGACTGGATGGGCCTTTGGCCTGTTCCAACATTGGCGTCTTTTATGTTCTTATGTCCGAAGACGTTTCCACGGTCATGTGGCCGGCATGACTAGATGCTGAGGCGCACGGAACGCTGTTACCTTCCCACCGAAGTGGTAGCTATTTATCTACTTGCAATTTCTTGCTTTCCAACTGCTAGGTTGGCAGGAGCTGGAACCAGAGATGGGAGCTCACTCCGTCATGCGGCACCTGGGTCTCGAACTGCTGAACTACTGACCTTCCAGCCTGCAGTTCAGCGTCTTAACCTCTGAGCCACCGCGGCCCCAGAAAATTTTTCTATACTGTTATATAAATATTAGTGTCAAGTATTACCAAACATAGGTTCGCCAAAAAAAAACCCATGGACCACATCACGCCAGGCCCTCCTGTCTTCTGCTATCCTCTGGAGTTTGCTTAATTTCATGTCCCTTGCATCAGTAACACTGTCTCACCATCCCATCCTTCACCGCCCCCTTCTTCTTTGACCTTCAGTCTATTATACACAGTGTCATATATTTTTCCATATCTTCCTAACACTACGACCCTCAGTTTTTGTATTATCCTCCCAGTGGGGCCTGGAGATCTTGTGGAATTTCAGCTGCTCTCCAGGCAGCCAGTAAACCGGAAAACAGGCTGACGCTCAGCGCTCAGGATGAAATGAAACACAATTTCTCCACTGTATTTAACAATGTTATTTTATAATAGCTAATATTCTGTCTTTCCTATGCACACCCAAAATACAGAAAAAAGGGGGGTTCAAAAGTACAGGGGAAAAGTGGGTCGGCGAAACTCCCCGGAGTTGATTTTCCATTTCGTTCACAACTTCATCCAAACGTACTGAAGCACCGCGGTAGTCTCTTTTAAAAACCTACTATTCATAGTGTCTTCACGTGATATTCCATGCCGTGATTTCAAATACTAGAATGTATCCTCATCCATTTTACTGGAGAATCTTATCCCGGGCATAGACACAGATCAATTTGCCTTCAGACAGCAGCAAATAAGTTCCCCTGGAGAAAATGGTTGCTTTGGAGCAGAGGTCATTTCGGGGGGGAACGCGGGGGAACGCAGTTTCCCCGGGTGAGGTGCAGGGGGGCGGGGCACATGACGAAGCCCCGCCCCCTGCT